GCTCTGCACACTCCGCTTGTTTGGCTGAGGTCAATAGGATTGGGAGAGTGTGTGTTGAATAGGAATGTGCTGGAGAGGTGGAGAACGGGGGAGATCTTCCTGGATGGAGCCTCTGAGTCCCCCCCNCCCCTCTACAAACTGACAGGGTCTGTCTAGAGACACACTCAGCCTCCCAGAGCACAGCCTGTTTGATATGCAGCTCAGTCAAACGACAAGGCAAGCAGCCAGACGTCCACACACACACACACACACACACACACACACACACACACACACACACACACACACTCTGTAAACACGATGAGGGAGGAGAGGAGGGGAGGAAAGGAAGCAGGTAGGCGAAAGGAGGAAAGGAAACATTTGATATCAAATCTGAGCCACGACCACTTTTAAAACCGATCTGTGTTTACAGTGAACACGTGAAGCTGAATCTGGAACGCCTCGTCTCCAACGGGGTTCTGGAGATGTGTGTGATTTCAGAGACAGTATTTTTCAGATATTAAAAATGTCAGCTGCAAATGTCAGCGTCAGTGTCGTCTGATTCTGTCGGGCTTATTCAAACAGTTTGGGCTGAACGCGGGGTGATTAGAGTTTCACCTCGGCCTCATGACGACAGCAAAATGACATTTAATGACGGCTCTGGACGAAAAGGAGGCCAACGAGGAAACAGCCAATCCACGCCTGAACGTTACTGTTATCTGCTTCCCGTGGGATTTCGCTCTGCTGTGTGCAGTCGATGGGACCAGGTGTCAAATGGAGAGAGTAAAGAATAATCCCAATGCGTGGGAGTCCTCAGTGTGGACGTCAGAAGCTCCTGAATGAACGGATGAATACAATGCCGTCTGCTAACCTTGGTCCTACTGTAGGCGAAACAAAACCACAGAGAAACAATCCTCCATCGACCCGTAATTACGTTCCAGCAACTGCATCCCATTATGTTCTCTTATCCGGGGTCAAGGTGTTAGTCGGCGGAGAACGAGAGGAATGGAGGCAGCATTATGCACTGAGTAAGACTAAACCCTGTGAAGCTTAATGTCTCTCAGCAAGAGGAGTGTGTGCACACTGGATATGCAGATTGGAGAGCAAATTGAGAGAGGAGCATCCTGCCTTAAACCTAAATGACGTCGACCATCCATCACTTCTCGTGCCGCTGCAGCCGTGTTTGTCTTCTCGTGTGTTTAGGTGTGTTGGGTTTGCACCACGCATTTCCATAATTGCATTTGCTGCGGGAAGAGAAGCACTTACTCTCATTTTCGGCCGTGATTTATCAACCCGAGCGATTCGAGCCAATGCACACATTCATTTATCTCCGCCGTGACCTTTTTTCCCCCCGGCAGAAAGAACGGCTGCCATCTTTGTTTTTTCTTCAAAAGCTTCTCCTTGTCAGCGACGGAAGTGCATATGGTTTTGACATTGACGGCGGAGTCGTTGAAGAATAATTACTTTTCCGACAAAATGCAGATGCTGCTCTTTGGGGCGAGTGAATAATGGGGAGAGAGAAACAAACACCTAACAGAAGCTCTTTTCAATTCCTTAAAGTGGACCTATCATGCTATATTTGAATAATATAGTGTAGGACCATACCTATATAAGGCATATTTATACTTTTTATTTTTCAAAATATCAAACAGATGCATTTTAGCCATTCCTCATTTCGCTCAATTTAACACTGTCTTTGCATCATGGGCTGATTCTGTGAGAACAGCACCATCTACAGGCCTGGCATATGTACTACAGCGTCTCCAGCGCTTTCCAACGGCAATGTCCGTGGCTGTCTCCTCCTGATTGGTGGAGTTGGCCCAATAGCCGTAGCGCCACTTCTGTGACGTCATAGAAGTGTTCAAATCTGGATCAGTCTGTATCAGATCCGTTGCAGCCCCTTTTTAAGAGATTTGGGTATGGAGGAAAATAGAGAGGGTTGTGTTTTCTGACACTTGGTGAGTTCCCTGGAACACCGGGGACACATGTTCATGTATACAAGACGTACAAAAGTGCATTTTGCATGATAGGTCCCCTTTAAGTTGCTTTTAAAGACAGTCAAAGGCAGGTGGAAAGCAAAGTGTACATTGAAAGTGTTAACCTGAAACACTTCAAGGTTCTTCCTCTTCTTTGTGCCGGGAGTTAATCAAAATAAAGGCGAGAGCTGATTTCCCTTGAGATAATAATCACAGCAATGTCTGGTGATTTAAACACAAGGTGAACGCGTGCAGAATGCAGCTTTTATATTGAAGCTGTCTTCGTACGGCAGCTTTAGTGCAGGGACGCTAATGCAATGCACAGGAAGGCATGTGGCTTTGTGAGCTCTGCACTCAGGGAAGACAAGGATCAATCACACACTCTCCAAAACAAACATCATCTGCTTTCTGACAGGCTCTTCGAGCAATAAATGACTAATTGCAACATTTCATGTACGGCAGATGGGAATAATTACGCCTGCTTTTATTTTTATGAGCGCGTATACAAGTAATTACCTGTTAATGTCGGCCATTTCTTTTAGTACTGGACCGGTGTGAGCACAAACAGTTCAGTGTTTTCTACATAAATAAACATTGTGACATTTTAATGGTTACCATAAGAACAAAAACAGAAGAAAAACACCTCGCGTGGAAATTGTTTTTGTTGCACGGAACCTTGTGTCATCCATTTGAGTCGTTTTAAGCGTTGGCTGCTGCGAGGTGAGGTCGTTTCAGGGCGCATTTGTTTTATCAGAAGCTCATTAGTGGAGCTCGGTGACAACAGAGGAAAACAGGGCGGATCTTTAAAGTCATTTGAAGTTGGTATTTGGTTTTCACTTCAGAGAGTAATGGCATATTCAAAGACACTAGGAGAACGCCCATCGTATTGTGTGGAAGGCATTCACGATAAATCAAATCAAGTTTACAAACTAATGAAATAAACAGGGTGGACGCATGAACCCTGAATAAAGTGATGGGAAAGTTGAATCTGTTAAAACACCTGTAGCATACACTATACTGCATATACTAACTACTGTATAATCACAGCCAAATAGAGGCTTTAAATACAGGAACATGCACTACAAGGACAGAATTAAGATAGCTAAGTGTTACAGAACAATATCATGAATGTTGATTTAAAAACAGACAGAACTGTGTGGTTTTTTTGCTGAATTTAAGGGATTGGAAGATGCTTGACAGGAGAGAAGTAAATGCCATCTTGATATTTTGAAACGAGCTATAGTCCTTTTAAACTGGTGCACGTCTTCCTTCAACATGTTCTGTATTATCTTTCTAATATATATCCTGTGTGCCCTGACGTCGAGCCTCAGTGTTCAGGTCTAAAACCACCAGACTCAGGGACAGTTTTTATTTATTTACATGTTGCACTGTTGGAGCAGCCGGTGAACTAAGATATTCATTGGCACTGTAGCTACAGTATGTACAAATGACAACAAAAGCCTTGCATCCTTGATATTTAACCTTTGGTATTGTACAAACTTTGATCATCCTCTCAGCCTCCTCTGACCTCAGCATTGTTGAAGGACTAATACACAAACTCACTGGCAGATTCCACCTTTGTCATTGTACAAGGTCTTCTCAAACATCCAACCAGGCTGCACCCAATCAGGTACAAACATGGACAAAACACTGGCCGTCTCTCAATCTCGAGGATGCTGGCTTCCAAGCCAATATTTCAAGGACGTTACGTCATCGAGTGCCGCCGAAGGACTGTTCCAATCTCCAGCATACTTGGAATTCCACCGAGGCCACGTCCTTGGTTTGGGGGTAATTTCGAGGCTGCACATGGGTAGACTTCGCGTCCTTCAAATTCCCACAATGCTTTGCGCACGGACCAATTTCACACCTGCACACTTGCTAGCCTGTTCCACTCTTCGTTTTCCGAATGCCAGGAAGGATTCTTGCCTAGCTTCTGAAGGAAGTGACTCGGAAGACATGTGCTACCAAGCAAGCATCCTCGACATTGAGAAACGGCCTCTGTCTCCTCTCATCATCTCAGCCTCCTCTCACCTCATATCTTTATATCCTTTGTTCATAACCTATAGCCTTGAGTCTCGTATAATGCAGATGGAGTCTCTTCCTACCTTGTCTCCGTCCGTGATGGACATTTCTGTATATTTTGAAACAAGCTACAGTACAGTCCTTTTAAACTGGTGCATGTCTTCAATATGTTCTACATTATCTTTCTAATATATATCCTTTGTGTCCTAGCTGTACAGCTGCATGCATTCACACAGAGCACATGGACTTTCTGGCTGTTCTACCTTGTTCAAACTCTTAATAAACATCCAACCAAACTGTACCCAATCATGTAACAAGAACAAATGGACAAAATGGCCTCCTCTCACCTCATATCTTTACATCCTGTGTGCTCGAAGACTTCTTCTTCCTACCTCCGTACATTCTGTAATATATTGCAAACAAGCTATTAGCTCCTTTAAACTGGTGCAACGCCCTTTCCTTCAATATGCCTCCATTATTCTTTCGGGCAGTATATATATTTTGTACATAACCTAACTGTATAGCCTTGCGATATCTTGAAATAATGCAGGATGGAGTCTCTTCCTACCTTGTTCTCCGTCCACGATAGACATTTTCTGTATATTTTGAAACAAGCTACAAGGGTATAGACCTTTTGAACTGGTTGCATTTCATCGNGTACAAAAGTGCATTTTGCATGATAGGTCCCCTTTAAGTACAATACTTGAGTAAATGTACTTACTTTTCACGTTTTTTTAATCAAGGTAAAGGTGGTCGTAATTTGCCGCTCTATCCACGTTGGATGAAGTCAAGGCAAGTTTATTTATATAGCACCTTTCAACACAAGGCAATTCAAGGTGAAGCTTTCATACATTGACTTTTATCCCTTTTTAATCCACAGTTTTGCTGCAGAATTGGACTAAATCATAGTTTACCTACATGTTGTTTACAGTGCACATGCGATGCATTCAGCAGCTGCAGGAAAGACTCACTCTGCAGGAAAGACTCACTCTGCAGGAAAGACTCACTCTGCAGGAAACACCCCGGCAGTCATCGTGCAGAAAGCAGCATGGTTGTCTCGTCTCTCAGGTTAGATTTTAAGCACATGGCTGATCAGATCTTTCTTGGCAGATGTCGGACCTACTTAATAATATCTGTCCCTACTCACATATTTATTAGCCTACTTTGCTTAAAGGCAACAGAAGCATCAGATTGCTTGCCTAAGTTAAACTACACACAAATCAGTGCTGCTTAAACATGTTGAAGATGGCCCTTCAAAAGATCTTTATAGGTAATAAATGATTACATTTGTTTAGTACTTTAGCTCCCACCAACAAAAGCAATAACATGTCTGTTCAAGTGGTTTCTCCTTTAAGGATCGCCGCGCTGTCATCCTCGCCTTTATGCCTTCCCTGTTCAAAGTCCTGGGGTGTTTTTTGATAAGGTAGGCACCGCTGGTATTAACCTCACTTTGCTCCACACCTTGACACGGTCCCTGAACGTCTCCTGAAGACCCTCTTTCCCCCAGAATGGATCCCGTGTACGAGACCCCCGAGTTCACCTACGAGAACCAGTCGCCAGGTATTTATGACGCGACATACGAGACGCCTTCTGAGGTGATGGCGGAGTACGAAAACATCGAAAGAGCCAGAGAAGCACCAGCTCCCCCTTCTCTACCTCCACCTCGCCCTCCATCAGATCAGAGGAGAGGCAGTTCCTCCTCTTCCTCCTCTTCCTCCTCATCCTCATCTTCCTCACATTCTGGCGATGAAGAGACAGGGGAAGGAAAAGGGAAAAAGGAGGAGGAATCGGAGAAAGAAGAGGTGGAGGAGAGCAACATGGAGCTGAATTTGGAGAGGAGATCTCCAGAAGAAGCGAAGAAGGCGAACTCATCACGCAGATCCTCATCTTCCTCATCTTCCTCATCATCATCTTCATCTGCCTCTGAGAAGGAGGAACCCAAGGTGAAGCCAGAGCCTGAAAAGGATGGACCTACAATACAACTTTATGTTAAGGTAAGGGAACATTCACTTCAAAAATTATTCCTAATTGACTTCATTTCAATTGAAAGTTTGTGCTCATGCAGAAACCTTTCTTTGGACCAAGTCATAAATCTCAGTCGTTATCCCATCATATCAGTTGCTCACGAACAACTTTGAGTGTGCAAGGTCAATGAGCGTCTCCTAAAGTGTGTGTGTGTGTGTGTGTGTGTGTGTGTGT